TGAGAAACATATTCCTGCAGATGTGATTCCGTAACCATTATATTCTGCAGTACAGAAAACAGTTCGAATATGCCATATGCTTGCAAGGAGTTTGCTGCATAATTTATTCCTTTTCCTGTGCATGAATTTTAATTTCATTTTAAAACTGTTAGTGTGGCATATTTACGCTTTATAAAAGTATATATATATTTTTTCAGTTTCCTTCATTATATATCGCCATTCTGCCATTGACAAGGACGCTTTCGTGGGCATGCCACGTGTTGCCGGCTAAAAGGCTGCGTGCTTATTCTGAGGATTAGAATATTTCACAAAAATACATGATATCAGTTGTTCAGGGTAGTGCCAATGTGAAATATATGCAACTGTTGACTTGCTTCGCATTTTTACTAAGAAGTAAAATATCAGTTTAAAACCATACATCCCCACGTGGCGGCCAGTTACCCCTGCGAGTCGTAGAAGGCGGCGAAAATGGGACCCGAAGCATTGGAATATAACTGGACCACTTTCTCATTGCGGGGGACACAAATCCAGGGACCTGGTTCTCCAGGTTGCGGGTTGGACGCGAGGCTCGAAACGTTGCTCTGCAAGAAAGTTATTATTGCGAAATCCAAAAACTGGATGGTCGAATTCACGACACGTAGCCATAAGCCTACCAGAATCTTCTAACGTAGACTATGGCTCAAAAAGGGCTCTTTTGCCAATCCTGCTCCTAATGATTATAATCTGACCACATATAAACCACCTTAATTAAAAGCAATACAATATTTGTGTGTAATTCCTTCTTTAAAATTTCAGCGACAGTAATATAATACTGACGAGGGAAGCAGTCATGTCTCAAACAGAGAACGGGTACTTCTGCTATTATATAAGTTATAGGAGCCTATATGAGCCTTTGTGCTTCACCCATGAGGTTCATGCATGAGACTTCTAAACGTTCTAAACCGCTTATAATTTTCAACCGTCCGGGTAACTTACGAGTAATAATAGCTTACACTGGGTGAAACCTGCTTGTGCAGCTGGAAGGTAGGTGGTCTTCATTGGAGGCAAATGGGCAGAAATTTTCTAGTAAACGCCGTGGAATTGCTTTTGTCGTCATTGTATACCGAAATAACGGATATTTTATTTCTTTGCCTGAATTTGTGTGTGTGCCTGAGTTTGTAGCAGATACAGCCTATATACGTCATGTTTCAAACTCCCTTCAAAAGCATATCTGTCATGTTTAACTAAATTCTGAGAACTTTATAGTGAGAAATATGGTCCAATAAAACTGTTTCTATAGGTTAAAACAAAAGGTACAGGCATGATATTCCTGGAAAATCATGCACGGTATTTCCTGTAATCCACAAAAATTGTGCGCTCTAAATATAAATATACGTAATTATTATAGTCTGGATGTGAACTGTAACTCAGAGGTTGAAAGGTTAAATCCTTAACCAGATCATTCCAGACCAGACAACTCGTGTTCACTGGTATTTGGACAAACGTCGGAATGACCGCGTGCTGCTATCAGCATCAGCAGATAACTTCAAAGGCTGCCTGTGCTGCATGTATCATGTACGTAGCTTGGATGAGAGAAATTAAGAAGCGTACAGAATTCTGGTATGGGAACAGATTTGAAATAAATCAGTTTGAAGACCGAAAAGGAGAAGGTGAACAGATGCTAAGAACCACAATATATTACCGACGGACTACGGGCTGGAAGGCCGAGGTTCATTGCCGGCAGTCCGCAGCGTCAAACAGTTTGTAGGACTCACCCAGCCTCCCATCAAATGGGTACCGTTGGCACTTTCATCGGGGGTAAAGCGTCCAGCGCCTCGTGCCGAGATCAAGAATGGTGTAGAGTTATACCTCCACTCCCTCATATGTCTTCATGGTGTGGTGCTTAATTAATTAAGCATAGGGACTACTTTACGGCACATTAGACATGAACCGGATTTAATTCCGTGGGGGAAGTTGGGCTATTTTATTAGCCGTGTTAAACCTTCAGATTCTGCTTCCAAAGAGTCAGGTAGCTGGTTATTTAGTTAGGCAGTCAGTTAGTTGTTAGTTGACTAGTCACATACACAGCCAATTGATTATTTAGTTTGGTAGTCAAACGTCTCAAAATCCTTCCTCTTTCCTTACGGACAACCTGCTCGGTTAGATCGGAGTAATCGCTATGTGAACTGTGCAAGCCCAGTGTTCAGTCAGCAGGCACGTTACGCAGTATTTCAGTGAATATACTCAATAAGGACAATTCGTCAACACATACAGAATATAGCTGGTATACGGTCGTTCCGTAGCTCAGGCGGTTAGTCGCCGGTTTCGCACCGAGTCGGCCTGGGTTCCATTCTAGGTCATGCGGGATTTATAATGGACAAAGTTGCGCTGGGGCAGGTTTTCTCCGAGTACTTCGGTTTCCCTTGCTAATTCTCCACACTCATCGTCATCTGTCATCCAGGGCTGGTACAATTGACCAAATAGTGGCCAACGTACCAAGTGGATTCATTCTCACCCCACCCTAAGAAACTAAACCAATGTAACTGTTATAGACTTAAATAAGCTAGGCAATGTCGAGTATTCGGCAGGGAGAATGCACTTCCTGCTTATACAGTCTTCTGCAGCAGGACAGAGGAACCTAAGGAACTAGTTTCGCTTCAGTGATCAGCACATTTCTGTCAGAAAATTAAGTCAATTTGCCCTTGGTTCTTATCGGAATTATTACAATGAGAATTGTCAAAATATGGTTACATAAAATCCGTTAGTTTATGCATGTTCGTGTAATTTCTTCGCTATTTGGTTTAGCAAATCGCATCAGATATACTGTTATAAAAACCAGTGCCATTATGGGCACTCTGTATCGTGTTTCCTACAGAACTTTCACTTCCTGATGTTGAGTGGCAACACTGAAAGAGGAAAATGGTTGTAAGAAAAATGACTAAGGAACAGAAAGAGGGTCAGAAAAAGAAAATAAAAGTAAGTGGAGGATAATAAATAAGAGTCGAATAAGAAGCAGATGAATTGAGGAAGAGAAGAAGAAGGAAAGAAGGAAGAGAGGAAAGGGAATTACTGAAGTTGCAAAAAATGTTAATGGAGAGATTCAGTTTCGAGAAACTGAATGAGGTCGAGGGTAAGTAAGAGTATCAGGTTAAATTTCAAGAAGTTTCACAGCTTCTTAAAATGTAGAACAGTGTGTGGATATTAACAGAGCTTGGAAAACGACTGGAGAGAACAGATAAATTTCATCCAAAGAGGGTCTAGAGTTATTACGAATAGAAGCAGCATAAGCCAAAGTTCGATGAAGAAAAGTCAGAATTATTATATCGAAGGAAACAAGCCGAATTTTAAATATTACGGGATCTGGAACAAATAAATGCTGAGTGACATGAGGATAGCAGATATTTCAGGAAGAATAACAGGAAATATCTGAAAAACAAAATTAATGAACTAGCAACTTAAAGAGTAACAACAAGAACGCCGGAGACTGGTATAGAGGAGTAAATGAATTTAGGAAGGTTTACCAACGTAGAACTAACTCTGTAAAAGATGAGGCTGATGATCTATCAGATTCCCATGGCATTTTGAATAAGTGGAAGAATTATTTCTCTCGGCAATTGAATGTACATAAAGCTATTGGTGTTCAGCAGACAGAAATACAAACAGCTGAACCATTAATATCTGAGCCTAGTCATTTTGAGGTTGAAATTGTTACTGCAATGTTCAAGATTATAAATCGCTAGATATTGACGAAATTCTGGAGGAACTGATTAAAACATGAGGTGTAACATCATGGACTGAATTCCATTCAGAATAAGGGACAATTGACTGAGTTTTTCAAGTAGCCTGTTATTGTGCGAATTTACAAGGGCGATAAAACCGAGTGCAGTAATTATCGAGGCATATTCGCATCACTGTTATCAACTTCTTACAAAATTGTATCCAATATTATTTTCTAAAGGTTAAACACTCAAGTAGGTGAAATTATTGTGGATTGATAGTGGGGGTTTTGATGTAACGGGTCAACTATCTATCAAGTAATTTGAACTCTTGAAATACTGAGGAACAATGCGAGCACAGTGAGTCTTGCAGTCTTGTTTTCCGTCCATAAAGCATTAATGTTAATTTAACAACATTAATTGACACTTAATTCACTAAATACTGTTCGTTGAATGTTTAAAGTGTCATAAAAATCACTAAAATGTATATACATTCGGAGTTTATGCTAAATGTTTCAGCCACATAGGCCGAGTTCAGACAAAACACTTTTTAAAGGAGTCTATTGCCTTGTGCACTTGGTCAAATAGTATTCATTAAGGCACTTCATTTTCAATTCTGATATTTTAGGATGTTTTTATAGGCTGATTTTCTTTCTATCTTAAATATTGCGGCTATTTTCGTGTCCCATTGGGTGTGCCGCTCTCTTAGTTGTGTGTACCTAGTGTTGCTTTGTGTTCCTTGTACTGGAACACGTAGAAACTCTAATTGACGTTAGTAATGAGGTTAGTCGAGAAGTAAAAAAGAGAAAAAACGTACATATTGATGTTTCATCTGCAGAATACAGGGAAAGATCATAACATAAAGATGGTTAATAAATCCTTCGAAAATGTGGCGAAGTTCATATACTTGGGCGGCAGTAAGAAATCAAAATTTGATTCGTGATGAATTGATACAACTCAGTTCAGAACCTTTTGTCTTCACGTCTACTGTATAAGAATGTAAATTTGGAATATACAGAACCATAATTCTGCATGTGGTTCTGTATGAATGTGAAACTTTGATTCTCGTTCAGATATGCTACTATGCGACATCCGTGTAAATAATTGGAATTACTTGCCCGTACCTGGTTCAAGTAACTTTTGTACTCTGAGTATCTCTGTGCATTGATGTCGGCCATTGGTCATTGCATGGAATCAGCATTGTGAGAGAGATCCGTGGTCGAGGTGCATGAGTATTTGTTCATTCAGCTATCGAATCAAGTATCACAGATGTGTAAGTTAGCTGTTGAAACTTGTTATCCGTAGTTATTTGTGCTTGTCGGCCCTGTCGTCCTTGTCGGTGTATGAGTACAAACGGTACGCGTGTGGAAGTTTTGTATCAATTTTGTTATTAAGTATGTTATCGAAGATAGCACATTTATAGTCGTCTAACATTACTATCGTCGAATGGCATAGCTCTACAACTGAAAATGGAATTTTCACCACGTATTTCAAGTACAGTAAAGAAAACAAATGCAGACCTTGAAAAGTCTGCAAGACTTTTGGATGATGCTTTGAGTTCTACAGGTAAAAGTTTGCTTCGTGTATCGAGGAACATTCCTCAGAGAAGAGTTCTAGGCAGCCTGCGAAGAGGTTGGTATATTTGTAAAGGTAAAGGTAAACTTATCCCTGGCCATGATTGATTAATGACCGCACCATAAAGTCTCCTAGCGAGAGCTCTTCCATTCATAAACTTGCACTAGATTGTTATTGGTCAACTTCACGACCCAGTCACTTTACCCCGAGGGAAACAACTCCCGTACTTATTATATAGAAGGATGGCAGTGCCCCAGAGCCGGTCTGGACATAATGAAGAAGAGCAAACTCTCTTGCCTGTACGAGGATTCGAATACTGACTCCTTGATAATCCAACCCATAGCCTAGTCACTTCACGGACTGAGCTAACAAACATAAACTCATGCCCTGAGTTTGGGTGGAACTACACTATAGTCGCAACTTTTATATTTCTTGCTAGAGAAATATGGGTGTATGGTAATGGTGGACCAGTCAAATTGCTGCTGTACAATAATATTGTCATACATTAGTGTACTGAAGAGTCTTGCAGTCACAGACTACTTACTGTAGCGTGCCAGCCTCAAAGACAGGTATGATGTATAAAGGTCAACCCAGGCCTACAGTACAGCTTTATTTTGATGAAACATTCTTTCACATGAAGAGTTCTCTCTTCTGGGATATAGAGCTGTGTACTCTTTTGCTTGTACCTGCTTCATGCTGGTTTCTTGCTTGGCTTACCCTTTGACCATGAAGATGGGGACATGTTCCTCCAAAACAGCTGTGTAATCCTTTGCTTGTACCTGCGTCATGCCGGTTTCTTGCTTGGATTACACTTTGACCATGAAAATGGGGACATGTTCCTCCAAAACCTTGGTTGACTTTCAGTGGACTACACTGTGTTACATTCCACAAAATAGAACCCTAAATAACCACTGCTATAAGAGCATCAAATCTTATATTCTTTCACATATTAGCATTATTGAACTTTTAACATGATACTTTTGCTTTAGGGATTTGTAAAATATCTTGTGCATTTCTTTCTCTTAGCAATGCTGGCATTGAAAGTTATCATAGACTGTGGATGCACAAAGCTGTTGCCATTGCAGATTTTAGTCATTAAGGACACTGAAAGTGCATTTTTCCCATAGAATATGTGTATAAGTTTCTTATGATTCTCTGAAACGGATGGCAATATTTCCCTAAATAGATCTTTGTAATGGAGATGTAGTGTGCTTTCTTTGAGGTGGGAACTACATTTTTAAATATTGTTTGAATGCAATTTTTGCTTTAAAGGGTTAACAGGATTTTGCTGTATTTGGACTGGAATAATTTTATATGTATTTTCTCAGAAATGTGTCATGAAATAAATATTTAATTTTATTGGGTAGAGCTATAATAACAAATATGACAGAGAAATGAGATTCCTATTTACATGCAGGTGAATATTTTCTTATGATACTACTTCAACCTAGAAATGGGTTCTTTGGTGTGGAGAGGTTTTAGTGGATTCGAACAGGATCCAGTGGCAAGTGATGAGATAATGTTGCTTGAACCTCTTTTTGATCAGATATAAAGTGACCCACTAAAAGGAGATAAATGATTTGCTTTTCAACATTAAGATTATGGCTGCATTTCATTTTCTTATTGCAGGTGATGGCTATGGTTCAGATCGCTATGGTACTGGAGGTACCCCCAGTAAGTTCCTCCATAATATACATGATATATCTGTCACTGTTGGCCCAGATGAGCTCAGTAAGTTGCTGCATGTCTCAAGAGGAGGTGCATTACTTACAGAACAAGAGCCATGGAAAAATGGTGAGTAATTAGTTTTTTATGTCATGGTATGTTCGAAATAACTAAAGCAAGATACAAGATATAAAGCATACAAGAATATACTGTCTACCAAGACTTATTTTATACGTATTTATGTATTTGAATTAAGTCCAAAATTACAATAAGGATCCTCATTTAGTGAACTGAATGATAATTGGATGCAGTTCAGCAGCCTAAAGCCAAACAGTGTATGCCTGATGATGTTCTGATATAGGGGTCAAAACATGTCGCATCCATAGAAGCTTTAATAAAACAAATGTTGACGCAGTAGTTTTTTTTTGTTTTAAAATACAGAGTGTTGTTGTGTAGACGGTATATTCTTGTATGCTTTATATCTTATGTGAGACACAACTATTAACCCGTTGCCGTGGTTTGACGTGTATGTTTCGTCAGGTATTTAAATCGTCTGGGGGGGTTCGACGTGTATGTTTCGTCCAGCTGCACACCTATGTTATAACGCCCATAATAATTGATGGTTTTGCTGTAGATTGTTAGATTTTTCGCTGGCCTGTTGTCAGTAGAACAGAGTATAAATAAGACACGACTTTATCTGCGC